CTTTGGTAACAAAGCCCCTCCCCCACAAACCCATTAAGCTGTGAATCCATAAATGGATCAATGCATTCCTGAGATTGGAGCTCTCATGATCCAATCACCTCCAAAGGCCCCACCTCCAGATGTGACTACCTTGGGGACTGAGCCTTCAGCACATGAGCTTCTGGAGTGCATTTAAGAGCTAAACAACAACAGAATCTAACTGTTCCTCATACCAACTTCCAGCCAAGTCCCCCTTTGTCAGGGTTCTTCTCATCCCCACCATCTGTGGAACCCAGTGCCTCCAGCTTATAAACCTTATTCCCAGGATTTTTATCCTTATGCATGACCTTCCCCTTCTATGGTTAGTTATTCACTGCCATTTCTACTCTTTCTTTGTACCAGAAACCCAAGAGCACCCCAGACGCCTCTTCTTCCTCATTTCCTCCAGTCCTGTTTGTTTTCACTCTCAAACACTTCCCAAATCTCTCCCTTCTTCACTTTCCTCCTTCTTATGGTCCAGCTAGTTTGACCAACTGTCATAGTTTGTCTGAGACTAAAGAAACTTGAGATTTTCAGTACTAAGACTAGAAAGTCTCAGGCAAACATGGCAAATTAAGTCCAGACCTTCCTCTATCCACCTTTGCTGGACAAACACTGTAGCTTCCAAGATGGTCTCCCTGACACAGTCTGATGCTCCTTAAGACCACCTTCCACACCTGTACCCAAGTGATCTTTTTAAAACGGAACTCTGACATATCACTCCAAATCTCAAAGCTTTCGGTCATTTGTCATTCTCCAAGGCCAGAAAAACTCTTCAGTATTACATAGCTTGGTTCTTCTTCCTCTCCATCTGCAACTTCAGCCACTCCCTGCAGGCTATTTCTACCATTGAGTTTGGAAGTGTTCTGGAATTTACACCTCTGTACCTTTGCTCATGCTGTTTGCTTGCTGTGAGATCCTTTTTCTCCCTTCCTCTTCCCCACTCTTCCTTTTTTGTAATTCCTACCAATCCTGCAGGAAGAGACTCAGGTGTTGTATTAGTTTTCTCATCCCTGAGACAGAATAGCCAACATCCACAACTTAAAGGAAAGGTTTCAGTCCCTGACTGGCTGGCTCCAAGGCTGAGACAGCACAGCAGAACGGTGTGGCAGAGCAAATCTGCTTAGTTCATGGCAGCCAGGAAGCAGAGCAGGGAAGAGTGCCAGAGAGGAGGAGGCCAGGGCCCAAAGACCTCAAGGCCATGCTTCCCTGACCCATGCAATCACAGCCAGAAGTGTGTTCCACCAGTACTGGGGCAGATTCAAAGACAATCACACTAAAACCTAGCCCTCATCACCGTATGTGTCACATCCTGCTAGGCCTTTTCTGATGTTCTTTCCCTTCCCTCCACACTCTCTCCCCTCCTCCCACTCCCTGATGAGTTATGTGGCTCATCTCTGGGCTCCCCTAAAATCATGAGACACATGCACAAAAGCATCTGCAACTCTGTAAATTGAATGGTAGCTTCTTAGGCCCAGGGCCCTGACCTCAGTCCTCCTGTTTCCCATTTCCTATAGCACTCAGCGTGTCTAACTCACAGCAGGGCTTACTGGAAGTTAGCAAGTCGCCAAGTCCTTCTTCTCCCGCTAAGACAGCCTATCCACCATAGGAGCACTGTGTTTGGTACCAGAAAAAAAAAGAGAGAGAGAGATAGTTTCGGCTTTTATCAACCTTCCCATAGACCAGCATGGTGTTTAAGCTTTAAACTGCAAGGTGGGCCCATTTACCCTTATGTCATATTTTCTTTCTTATGTCAGTTCCTTACACTGCTGCCTGTTTTTGATGACCTCTTTAAACAACCTGGTCAGGGGCTTTTTGAACTTATATACTTATCACACCAGAGACTTCCCTCTGTCCCTGCATGGATCTGCTGGGGGCAAAAATCCAGTAGCTGTGCCTTCCTCTTGGAACCTAGCAGGTCCATGTTGATGTTCTCTCCAGATAGATCAGAGAATAAACACTGGGAAGCTAGGGTAAGTTCATGGTGAGCTGGGACTAGGTGTTTCCAGCTTGGAGAATAGCTGTGTAAGGGCACTGTGTGTTAGGGCTCAGCAAAGATATGAGTAGCTGAATTGGAAGTGTGTATAGCAATGGTAAATATGGCAAGAACAGAGGAACTGGGGCTCTAGGATGTGGAAGGCAGGAAGCTGCCAAGAGAAAACAGGAGGCAACTGGCAGCATTTGCCTATCACCTGCATCTTGCGGAGAACCACACCTTTTGCAAATTCTGCAGCTGGCCCTCTCTGCTGACTTCCACAGTGGCATTTATTGACTGTAGTTAAGACTTCTGGCAGTCCAAAGCCCAGGAGGTAGGGTGTATCTAAGCCTGCAGACTACAGGGGGGAAAGAAAAGGCTGCAGGCAGGTAGGAGGAGGCCCCAAGAGTGCAAGTGATTATCTAGAGAGCAGGGCCAGGTCCTGCCAGAGACACCCCCAGCTGCCTGATGTAGGAGAAACACTACAGAGTTGGGAGTCAGCAACCCGGGCCCCACACCTGCCACTGTGCAACCTTCAGTTAGTCACATCCAGTCCCTCCTGGCCTCAGTCTCCTTACCTGCAGGAACCTTGATTCCCTCACCAGGTGCAGTTAGGTGCCACAAATGAATGCACCTGGCTTCCCTCATGCCTCAGCTCATGCAGGACCATATCCCTTGCAGTCTTTCCAGTTATTTCTGGAAGGTTACCGATGCTATCCTGGTGTTATCAGATGGAGGATTTCAGGGAGTTGTTTCTAGGTTCTTGATATCCTACACAATAAATGGAGCAAGACACACACTCAAAGTGAGTAACATAAGTGAGATTTATTAAAATCAAAAGAAGCAAAAGTACATTCCTCAGGGTAGAAGTGGGGCCCTGATGAGGGAAAGTACTGGGTCTCTGAAGGTCCTGGGATTATGGGAGGATCTATAAGCTGGGGATGTACAGGAATCATGGCCCAATGGAGTACCTGTCTCAGCCCACCCATCAAGAGGAGGTTTCTGGTCATACAAGGTTTTCAGAGGAAGTGAGAAAGTGTCATGGTGTTCAAAGCCAGGGTTCTTTACTTTTGGTTTTGCTCTTGCCTGGGAGTCTTGGGAGACGGGAGCATAAGATGACCTTAATCTGTTAAGTTTCCTGATGTTTTGACATAATTGTCCTTGCTCTGTCTGGTTTCTCAATTCTTTGACCCATCGCTTTCAATTGTTTACTTGTCCTTGCTCTTCCCCCTGCCTCCTAGTGCTGACAATCATCTGGTGAGTTGTTCACTTAGTGCCTCTAGGCTCCACTGTCTGCGCTGTGCCCACATCTGCCCCTGTTGATAAGAGCTCCCGGGCACCACAGCTGTTGCCCACCACTTCTGATACACAGACAGAGGTTCCCCAGCCCCTTGTCACCCCCTGCCATGGGGTCCTCCTGCCTTCTGGAGAACTTGATACATCTTTGTGTTTTTACTCACAATCCACCTGTTCAGACTGACCTGTGTTTTGGGCTGGAGAGGCTTAGCCTAGGCAACAAACGAAAGACAGAAAGAATCCACAGTGGCAACTGAGACACTGTTTATGCTTGGCTCCTTCTCGGAAATTACAGTTACAATTACAAGAAATGACGAACATTAATACATTTCTCACTATGTCCCAGATGATGTTCCAAGCACTTAAAATATACTATCTCATTTCATCTTTAGAGCAGTCCTACAAAGTAGTTTTTATTATTATTTTTTTCTAAATAGCACAAAGAGAGTAAGAACTATGCTCCAAAACACATAGCTAGTAAATGGCAGAGCCAGGATTAAAACCTGGGCAGTGTGGCTCAGAGACTGCTTTTGCCCCTCCTCCTGGGACATTCTTGCACACTGCTCACATGCTTCTCTCTGCCCTACTCCACCCCACAAGAGTCCAACTGAAAGTCCAGACATGCTTGACATCTTCTTCCACCACCAGTTGAGGTTGCTGCTGTTATCTGATGATGAAACAATGGATTGACTCTGTGGTTCTCAGCCTTGCCTGCTGTCAACTCCAGGCTGCTTAAATCAGAAGGTCTAATTTTATGTGTGATTCTTATAAGCAGCCAAGGTTGAGAACACTTGAGTGAAACAAACTCCAAGGCCTCCTTCAACTCCAGAGTTCTGTGGCTGTGAATTTCCCAAAGCTGCTGCCTATGTGTGGAGTGAGTCAGAGATGCAGAAAGGTCCTTTGAGAGCCCTGCATAGCACCCATGATGCCCCAATGTTCTGCCCATGGGACAGGCCTCTCCAGTGCAGGCCCCTCTGACTGGGGGTTAGAAGGATGCCTGAGGGCTGCTTTCCTTAAGCCTGGTCTGAGATTGGGGGTTTTTGGCTGCTTTCTACACCCTCTGTCTATGCCCCAGGTAAATAATTTTATATGTAACTGAATGCTCAGAACTGGGGTCAGGACTTATAAACACCCTGAAGTATTCCCAAGTCCCACACATAGAAACATGCCTGTCATATTGGAGGTGCTTGGTAAATATTTGTGGAATAAATCAACATGCAAATCCAGACATCTGGCATGCACTAGCCTAGCATTCTAGTCTATGTTTAAATCTGAGGACAACAGGTTGGGCAAAACACTCTAGAAACAATGCGAGATCCAAGGACAACTGGGAGGCAGTTGATACAGTGTGGTCACTGCCCAGAATCACTTGCAGGAAGAGAGACAGGGACCCTGTGGGCTGGATGGAGGAAACACACCAGGCTCCAGGATAGAAAATCATGCTGGCAGAGCCATCTGCTGAACAAAGGTGACACTTACATATTCATTCTCTCTCTCTCTCTCTCTCTCTCTCTCTCTCTCTCTCTCTCTCTCTCTCTCACTTCTCTCTTAGTTAAAAAATAACTATTTGCAAATAAAGTTAAATTTACATGAAATTTACACCACAAGTTTTCATGACACTTACATATTCATTCTCTCTCTCTCTCTCTCTCTCTCTCTCTCTCTCTCTCTCTCTCCCTCCTTTCTCTCTCTTTCCCTCCATCTGTTACAGGCAGTGACACACACCTTCCGGACCTCCAGCATCCGGATCCAGAGCCAAGACCAGAGGCTGCTGATGCTACTGCTGGACAAGGACAATCGGCGCACTTTCAGGGATGTGGTCAGGTAAGCTGAGCCTGCCACCACTAGCGCTCCAAGCCCCGTGGGGCAGATGTAAGCCAAAGCCAGCTCCTTCTGTCTGCCAGCCCAGGGCACCTTGTCATAGGCAGAGCCTGTAGCCAGGAAGGTGTCCCTCTCTGGTGGACATGGACTCAGGCCACTGCCTTATCACTTGAATTCAGGAAGAAGGGGCAAATGAATGGCTGACATTAGGCAAAGACTGATATTAAATGTTTCCAAGATTTCTACAGGCACATGCAGCCTGAAGACCTTCTGATTCCACCCTCTTTGCTGGCACTGGCCTATCCCACACAGGATACCCCCCGGGGCATATGTGCCTCAGTTGATGTGACTCTTTCAGGTTTCCTGGGTGTGTGTTTAGGTAAAGAGGCAAACACAGAGACACAGGCAACTCAATGCAGGCATCTCCTTCCTTGCCCAGGTAGACAGGTTCATGAGGCTCTTTCTCCTCCTGACTCATCCTCTTCTTTCTGCGTGGCCCTCTCCTATATACCCTACAATAATGGGTCTACCTTTCAAACATCAAGGGCAGAGCTGATCCTTGAGGTGGATCCCCTGAGCTCATCTCTTCCCACCACAGATTCGAAGTGGGTCCCTGCCCAGAGCCGTGTTCCAGGACCCAGAAGTCCAAGACAGCATTGCTCAATTCCCACGGAACGAAGGAGATGGAAACAACCCAAGCCACATCCAAACCCCTTCTCATGCCCATCAACACATTCTCCGGCATCATCCAGTGAGCCCGCCTGCATAGCAGAAGAGCTGGGTCCAAGGGCAGAGGGCCCAAGAGGAAGGAACTACTATCCCTACGAAATCCCTGGCACTCACACTGACAGCCAGAACAAGCCCAGCTCCACTGGGCAGCTCTGGATTTGATTAGGAGCCAGTGAGTGCCTGCGAGCCCAGGGAACCTGGCTGTGCAGGTGTGTGAGGGAGAAGGACCCACACCAAGGCCAGAGGATCACTCAGGCAAAGCAGTGACTGCATGAGAGCACCCACACAGCTCAGCTCCTCCCAAGAATGCCCACTCTTAGGTGTATCTTAACTCCCTCTTCTCCTACTGTCTTGGCCCACTCAAACTTCCCTCCCAGCCTTAAAGCCAAGGTCAGAGCTGCTGTGCAGCCAGAGCCCTGTAGATGAGGGGAAAGTCAGAAGTAGATAAAGACCACTGGACCTGCTCCCTCCCACCCCCAGCCAGGGACTCTCCCAGTGGAGAGGAGAATGTCAGTCAATAAATGCACACTAATGTGTTTCTGTTCTCATCTAACACTGGATAACATTGGTATTTTGATAGAAAACAGGTCACAGTTCTTAATATAACCCAGAGTGATTTTGTGAAGTATTAACTGCTGTGTTGTCTCTGCCTGCACCTTCCTCTCTACATTCATCCCTAACTCAAGGATTCTCCTGACCAGCACTGTACCAAAATAGGTGGGAATGCAAGGTAGTTTCGAGGAGCCAAAAATTAAAGGTATCAAAATTCTTCGCACCTGAACTTAAGAACTTGCATCCAGGTGTAAAATAGGAGAGATTAATAACTCAGCTCCAGTATTTTCCCACTTTGAGCCCAGCTCTAGGACTAGTATGGGGTGGGGGAGAAAGAACACAAATACTTGGGTTAAGGCCTATCCCTGTCACCTGGACAGAGTCCCCTCGGGTGATGGCAGTGGAGGCAGAGGTGGTGGAAGAATTCCTTTGAAGTTTGGGGGTCCAACAGTAAAGAGGTGGGCCCTTCACTCTTGGCCTCATTGCCCCAGGAGAAAGGGCAAGTCTCATATTCTTAATGCCATGAAGAGTGTAAGAAGCATTGCCCAGGGCACTTGGATAGCTGGACTCAAGGGTAGCCCTAAAGAAAGTCAAGCAGCAAAGGTTTTACGAGATAGCCAGAAGCAGGCAAGCCCAGGAGGTCTCAGATGATAAAGGGTGCAGCTGTGGGCAGCAGTGTGGAACATGGCATCTGCAGTCCACATGTGGACCTGGGCACCTGATAAAAAGCAGCACGGCAAAGTGCCTGCCTTCTGGTACAGTTGAGCCCAGGGCAAGTTAAGAGCAAGATGTGGATGGATGTTATATCCTCCACTGCAGCGTCCTGATGCAGGACCTGGGGAGGAGAGTGACTAGACACAGGCCTCATTGTGACTGAGGTGGGTCAAAACTTGAAAGGACAGTATCACTGAAATAGAGTATCACTGTATTTGAGTGAATTTGCCTGGAAATGGCTAGCTTTTATTTCTTCTACATTGGGTGATATAAACTGATTCATATCAATTTGAGCATTAATAACCATTAAGTTTTAAAGTAAATATTTGCAGAGTTTGCCAGGTTTTAAGGTTAGGTGAGGGCTCTGGGGCTCCTCCACAACTACCTCTCTACCAGCTTACAATGAAAGCAAGTCTTACACCAAAATCCTATACACATACAGATAGACATGTTAGCAAGCTGCCCCTCTTCACCCCACCCGAATTAGGTGCTCCAAGCAAACCTTGCATGAGTTTACTGAATCTGTGCCTAGACACTAGACCATTTTGGAGCAAAGCCTAAAAGTCCAAAGGGTTTTGACAGCTGGAATTTCTAGATTCTTTTTTTTTAAATTCTTTTTATTTTATGAAAAATAAAATAAAATTTCATAACAAAATTATAAGAGAATAACAACAGTCAATATATTGTGTATCATTATCTTCCAAGTAATTACTCAGAGTAGGTTCTTATATTCTGTTTAAGTGAGAGGAAATACCTCTGAAAAAAATTGTACCTATTCCACATGACCTAGATATCACTAATTTCACCAGTGAAAACCGTTATGTTAATTAACGAAGCCACTTCTGTTGAAGTGCTAGTATTAGCTTCCTCTAAAGTGTCTTTTTTTTTTTTTTTGAAACAGGGTCTTGCTATCAAGCCCAGGCTGGCCTTGAACTCTTGATCCACTTGCCTCAGTCTCCTGTGTATTGGGATTACAGATGGAGGCCATTATGCTAGGCTCTAGCTAAGCACTCACACAAACAGGGCAACTTACATCCCATAAGTGTAGCTTAGAACTATCCAGTACATACATGCTGTCCAGTGGCTGTGATGTGCTGCTGGGACTGGATCTGACTGCCCTCAGCTGTCAGTCCTCTTTAGGGATTGTCCTGGCTGCAGAAAATTGTGTCACCCAAGGTCATGTCTCTTTCATGGAGATTTTCCATGCAGTGAAACAATTCTAGGTCCTGGGAACTAAAATACTTGCCTTCTTGGAGCTTTGATTCTGATGGAAACAATAAACAAGGTAAAATACAAGAAATAGAAACTGTAGTGTGTTCAATAATGAAGTACTATGAAAAAAATAATGAAGTACTATGGAGAAAATGTTGGGAAGGGGAGGGTGTGTCTTGGGGATGGGATTGGCAGTTTCACTTAGGGTGGGCAGGGATAATCTCTACGGGGTGGTCACTGATCAGGGCATTGGAGTAAAGACCTGAAGAGGACGAGGGATGGTGCCTCACGAGTAACTTTCATCCATTCTTGCTCCGTCAACCCTGACTCTGACCCTGACGGTTTTACTTGCCTGAGTTCAAGGATCCCAGTTCAGGGATTTAGCCCGGATGTCTGGGCGACGCTGGGCAGCCAGGGGTGGGGTGGAGCCTGTGGCCTGGCTCCGAGCGCTTCCTGCAGGACACGGGCGCGCCCCTCGTGCACCTGCGCACATCCAGGCAGGTGAGCAGCGGAGGCCTCGGGACGTGACAGGTGCGGCTGCAGGTGTGCGGGTCCCGCCCCGCAGAGCCGCCCCCTCGGGGCGGGGCCACTTCCGGGCCAGTGGCCGGACATGGGCGGTGGTTTACCGGCTGACCGCGGCGCTGCCCGAGCCCGGAGACGGAGTGCTGCTGTCTGTGAGCCAGGATCCCTCGGGCCTCTCCCGGGGACATGGGGCCGCGACCTCCCCGGCTTCCGCCGCGCTCGCCCTGCGTGCAGCTCTGCTCTCCTTCGGCTCGAGTCTGAAGGAGCGGGGCAGCCATGAGCGCCAACCCCCAGTGGGACATCAGCAGAGCGCTGCGGGTGGCCAGGCTCTTCCATCTGATGTGTGGAGTCCGGGATGCCTGCGTAACCCCGTTCCTGACGCTCTACCTGAGGCAGCTGGGCTTGGCCGCGCCCTGGGTGGGCGTCCTAATGGGAAGCAAGCTCCTGGTCGCAGCCTGCTGGAGTCCCTTCTGTGCCTTTCTGGCCAAAAGCTGCCAGAAAAGGAGAGTATTTCTGGTAGGCTCCCTGCTCGGGTCGGCGGGAGCCAGCCTCTTGATGGTCCTGGTCCCACCGCTAAACAGAGATGCTCTGTACCACTCTTGCAATGGAAGCAGTAGCATGACCACCACAGTCCTGCCACCAGACGTCACACTCTCTGTGACCGTCGCCTCTGCCCGAGAGTCTGTCACAACCCACCCTGCGGGGCCGCCCAGCCTCCCAGCCAGGAGGAGGCCGGAAGGCTTGGAGGCCTCAGGCTTCCCAGATGGACCTGGAGAAAGTGATCAAGAACCTTTCAAGGGGCTGCACTTAGAGGGCTCCCTTAAAGGAGCTGAGGCCACGTCCCAAGTTCTCCATCCTGTCACTTCAGGAGTGGAAGATAATTCCTGGGAAGGCGCTTCTGAGGTGGTCAATACTACCCTCCTTCTTCCTGGCGATGCAGCGCTGGGCAGTCCAGCCAATGTGTCAGAGGCTAAGAGGGAAGCCGGGTCCCTGGATCTCTCCTCAGAAGGGTTGCAGTGGACTTTCCTCCTCTCCTTGGGCTTCCTAGTGTTCTGGGAGCTGCTGACAGCCCCTCAGGAGCAGGTGGCCAATGACAGCCTTTATGAATACCTGGATTTTGTTGATGCCACTGACCGATACAAAAGCCTGGGGCTCTGGAGATTACTGGGCATGTCGACAGGTGTGTGTGGCATCGCAGCCTTGGTGGGGCGGCTGGACTGCTCCCTGATGACAAATGGTACTCGGGGTGTGGTGTACTTCTATAGCTACTCACTGGTCAGCACCCTGTCCTTACTGGTGAGCATTGCCTTTCCTATCCCCACCTGCCAGCAGCAGGAGCCTGGCTACAAAACCATCAAAGCACTCTCTCTCCTAGGGGACGACCCTCGCATCCTCCTCCTAGCCCTCACTGTCTTTTTGATAGGAACTGTCACCAGCACGGTGCAGAACTTTCTCTTTTGGCACATGGAAGACTATGGCAGCAGTGAGCTGGTCATGGGCTTCTCAGTGGCCCTCAGCTTGCTGGGGGAAATTCTGCTCCACCCGTTTAAAGCTGTGTTGCTTCGGAAACTGTCCAGGGTGGGTGCAGTGGGACTGGGGTTGGGATGCCTCGCAGGGCAGCTGCTCTACTACTCTTTCCTCTGGAGCTGGTGGTCAGTCTTGCCTGTTCAGATCCTGAGTGCCATCAGCAATGGGGTTTTGTGGTGGGCCGTGGAGGCCTCCGTGGAGGACCTGGCCACTCCCAGCACAGAGAGGCCTCTGAGTACCATGTTCCGAAGCCACTTCCACAGGGGGGGTTCCAGCCTGGGCAGTTTTGTGGGGGGGTTCGTGGTGATGAGCTTCAGCCTGGCCATGCTTTACCGTGCCTGCTGTGTGGTCCTGTTGCTCTGGCTGGCCGTCTTCCTGTGCATCCAGCCCAGGCTGCCCCAAGAGCGGAAAATCAACTACTCCAAGCTACTGGTTGTGGAGGGGAGTGACACCAGCGACTCTGAGCCAGGGTCAGAACGGGACTGGCTTGTGAAGGCCATGAGGGAGGAGCACTCAGACTGCAGAGGCTGAGAGAAGGTCTTAGTGCACTGATCCGGAAAGAAACTAATGAGTTGGACAAAATTCAGTCTGCTGAGAACAGAATCCCACCCTGGGTTGCAAGGATCTTGGAGAGAGAAGGCATTCTATGCTGAAGGCATGATTTTCTTTACTTTTCTAATGAAAGGTGATTTGACTTTTTTGGCCATTAAATCTTTTTAAAATAATGGAGGAAAACGCATTTGCTTTTTAAAAAAAATACCCTTGTATTCATTCTATTTTGACACGGGTTTGTATTGGATCCAGCAAGGGCTGGTGCCAGGAAGGTGATGAGGACTTACAGGATGCAGCAAACAGAGAGGGCCGCTGTCTTGGATGAGTTGTGAGCATTTTCATGGGTCATAGGAGCGTTAGCCTGACCCTAAGAAAGCCATACTGGGCAAGTAAGAATATCACTGAACACCTTAGCTCCTTTCCCTCCCCACTGATGAGCAGGAGCCCCTGCTCACACCGTAGGACTTAAGTTTGCAATGAGAGAAAATGATGGCCCTGTGCTGTGTGTTGGGGGAGGAGTGGTGAAGTCAGTAGTTTTCGTTCTTACTCTCAAATATGTTTGAGAGGGAAAAGATCCTTAGAATCATCATCCATGTTTTTATCAAAGCAAGGGCAATTTAAAGTCCTGTGGATTCACATTCTTCATGTTCCACCTCCCAAGAGCACATGGAGATTTTAGCCATCTGCTTGGATTGGGATGTGGCAGTCTCCATGGGTAGGGCCTCCGGGCTCTGTACCCGTGCCCAGCCACTTCTGGAGAACCCTCCTTGTCCTCCAGAGAAAGGCCCTTTATTTCAGAGGCCAGTCCCCAAAGCCCAGTTCTTCTACCTGATAGTCAAGTAAACAGAATATTGGATTTAGAAGGAGCCCCACTGTGAAAATGCATAAAATATCTCATAGCTGGAGAAGGGGAAGAGTTAATGGCTGTCTACTGGGTCAGACATTTTCTAGGACTTTTCTCTTTCTATTCTCACTGACAAGCTTTAGTATACAAATAACCAACACAAAAGTACGTCTGCCATAAACCACACATTTGTCTCATGAAGAGGCCTAAGGATAGGCAGTCCAGAGAAGGGTAAGCTGCCCAGTGATGCCACTGGGGACCTAAAACCCTTTTATCTCTTGGTTCCATCACACAGCCTATAGGCTCTGCTGCCATATTTGTACTCATAATAACAAGATGGCCACTGCACCTTTAGGCCCCTTGTCTATGTCCCAGTAGGAAGGAAGGAAGGGGAAAGACAATAGGGCAAAGAGGGAAACAGGACCAGGAAAGCAAAAGCCTTCCCAGAACTCCTCAGCTGACTTCTTTGTGAACTGTATCACATCCTCCCACACTCACCCCAAGGGAGTCTGGGAAGCAGAGCATCTTCAGCTGGGTACAGTGACACCTCCAGCAAAATTAGGGTTGTGTTAGGAAGAAGCACTGGATATAGGATCATCTGCGAGGAACATCCACAGTAGTAGCAGCAGCAGAATTCACATGCAAATCTGTCTCCTTCCAAAGCCCACGTTCCTTTCACCCCGGTCAGCCAGCTTCCCCACAGAAATGACTCCAGCAATTTGACCCCTACAATGACTCTAGGAATAAACCAAAATTTTAATCTGCATTTTACAAATGAGAAAATGGAATCTCAGAAAATTCTCCCACTGGGTAATGGGCAGACACACTACTGGAGCCTATTCTCCTTATCCCAAAATTAGGGCATTTTCTTATACACCAGTAGTTCCTAGGCCTGGCTGTCTATGCAATTCTGAGAAGCATATATGAAAAGACAGGTTGCTGGGTGTCATCAAGATTTCCCGGGTGGAGCACAGAAATTTGTATTTTTCATGCAATCTCCAAGTGATTCTGATGTGGTTAATCAAGTGCTGATCCACTTGGTTCCCTTTACAGAAGTATCTAAGCACTTCTTTAGCAAATGCTTCTAGTGTGCAGTGAAAGGAATAATAGCCATTGCCAGGCACAGTGCTGCACACTTGTAATCCCAGCTGCTCAGGAGGCTGAGGCATGAGGGTTACAAGTTTAAGGCCAGCCTGGACAATTTAGGGAAATTCTGTCTCAAAATTAAATAAGTAAAATAGGTTAAGGATGTAGCAAAAGAAAAAGACACAAAAATGATGGCTATTGAGCATTTCTTACAGGTCAAATACTACTCTAAACACTTAACATAGCTTATTTAATTCTCAGAACAATCCCAAGATGTAGTCATTTTAGCATTTTCAATTTACAGATGTTTATTAACATCTCCAATGTACAAGTGCCAAGCTGATGGCCAAAGTAACTTGCTAGAGACACAGCTAATTAGTAGCAGAGTCAGGATTCAGGTCTGGTGGCTCAAGGACCTGAGATTCTAATCACTATGTGTGGTCTTTGGCCAGGAATTGGGGGCAGGGGAATAAAAGAGGGAAATTAAGGTCACTGTCATTTGAAATTTACTGGATAGTAGACAGTATTTACCATTATAAGTAGAACACACAATAATATAAAAATACAAACACAAGTATGTCCCCTTGATATAAACAAAATGATTAAGAACAAGACTTGGCATAAGAGTTATGGTAGAAAGTGTGGGTTAGCCTGAAGAAGGAAGGGAAAGCAGGGAGGAGTGTTTGCCATTCTTAGCTGCCTACAGCACAGCTCAAAGGGTCAGATGGATGCCTCCATGCAGGAATGCCATGCAAGGAAATTTTAGCATCTGCTTGGGTTAGAATGGGTTAGAGGAGAGTGAAGTCATGATTTAAGGATCCAAAGATTTTTTTTTTTTTTGTACCAGGGATTAAACTCAGGACCTTGTGCTTGGGAGGCAGGTGGCAGTACCACTGAACTAAATCCCCAGCCCAAGGATCCAAAGATTTTGAGTGCATGTGTGTGGTATTGAGAATTGAACCCAGGGACTTCACACTGAGCTACAGCCTCAGTCCCCCTGTCTTTTTTAATTTTACTTTTAATTTGAGACAGGGTCTCACTAAGTTGTCCAGACTGGCCTTAAATTTTGACCCTCCTGCCTCAGCCTCCCATAATGTTGGGATTATAGGTATGTGCCACCACACCCTGCAAGGGTCCAAAGACATTTGTGTTTTGATTATTTAGTCTATTTGTAAAGAACCATGTTACTTACTGTAGGGAATTCAAGGATGAACAAAATGCATAGCCCTAGCCTCCGTAGTCAAGCCAGAAGATACGCGCATGGACACACAGGCACGTAACGATGCACAAGGGAGACGCAGCAGACTTTAGTTTGCCTGGTCTGTTATGAGGGCCTCGTCACATAGGCATGCTTTATGAACTCGCTGGCCTGTGGCTCAATCATCACATCCTCTCCTCTCCCAGAAGTCAGACTGATCGCGAATGGCTCCAAGTCCTGACATTCTCCGCGCATGGTCTCCCTGCTATGACAGCCCCCATCCATCTTCGTTCATTAGCATGAATTACCAAAAGGCTCCTCACAAATTGCTTCACTAGCCTAAGCTCAAATGTACCAAAGACAACCTTACAACTTGGAAAATTCCAAGAATTTACAGGTTACCTCCTAGGAACAGAGGCCAAAGGCCATGTTCATTATTACACAGGAAAATTATGTTAATTATTATACAAGATAAGGTAGTTACATATATCAATAATTTAACCTACTCTCTTTCTGAGTAGCATTCCACTGTGTGTATAATTTGTTTATTCATTCACCCCTGTTAGTGCACATTGGATTGTTTCTAGTTTTGGCTATTACAAATAAAACTTTTATGAATTTCCATGTTCAAGTATTTGTATAAACATATGCTTTCATTTCTCATAGGTAAATAGCTATGCATTGTGGTTTTAATTCACATTCCCTGATAACAAATGAATATCTTTTCATTGTACTGTAATTTTGAAAATTAATCACCAGAAAAGAAGTGAGCAGCCAGGCTTGGTGGCACATGCCTGTAATCCCAGCACTTGGGAGGCTGAGGCAGAAGGATTGCCGTGAGTTTGAAGCCAGCCTGGATTACATAGTGAATTCAAGGCCAGCCTGAACTACAAAGTGAGACCCTGTCTCAAAAGAACAACAAAAAAAGTGAGCAGAAATAAAATGTCAGGTGCCGTAAGAGCAGATTACCTATCAGAACAGTTAATGCTTCAGATCAGTGGTCTCTGTTCCCAGGTGCTTTAAAGAAAAACAGAATGAAGGCTCTAGAGGATTTTCTTTGGGACACACAGAAACACTGGGATCCAAGCTTGCCACTGAACACATCTCCAGGGCCACAATCAATGGTTGGGGTCAAGTGTGTGAACTGAGCCGTCCAATCAGAGTAACATCCAATGGAAACTCTTTCTTGGTATAGGGGACCCACGCTGCCCACTCTACTTGTGCCGATGTGAAACCTTGAATGACATTTTGCTACTTTGATGAAGCCTGCCTGGGAACCAAAAACAGGGACACAAACAGAATAAGAAAGGACAAACGAAATGTCAGGTGGAAAGTTCAAACAGTGAGTGTATTTCAGGAAGTGTTGGGCAGGCGTGGTGTCTGTGTGGAGGGATGTTCAGAAAAACCATCACAGATTTAAAGAAACAAGCCTCAGATGAAGGAAGGAAGGATGAGGTTGTAATTATGACTGTTACTCTATCAGCTGCTCTACCTAGTAGGTCAGCACAAAATCAAAATAAATAAAATTCTTAGCTCATGGCCCTGTGACTCTCAGAGATACTGAGCCTGACATTTGATTCTGGCTGAAAGGAAAGGAAATACTGAATGAACCATTGATTGCTATGATCAACTTTACTTAGAACCTTATTTTCTAAGTGAGTTTTATAGAATACTTAATCCTAGTGGGGTAGAAGGTTGGAGAGAGGATTCTATGGCCAAACAACTTTGGAAAATTATATAAATTACTGTCACTTCTAGAAACTTATAATGCCCATTAGCAATTAAAGACTCAAAAGCCCTGGAATCAACAAACTTTTTTTTTTAAGCTCTGTTTGACCTACAGATCCCTTCATGCACTGTATTTGGTATCACAGCCTTCTTCCTGTGTGACACCAATCACAATCTTGTGGAAACAGTCAGGGTTCCCTTGAAGATGTTTTGGAAAATCCCTACAGTTAGCAGTTTTCTGGGCAACCTTTTCAACTCAGCAAAGTTGCTGCTCAGGGACAAATCTGGTCTCTCAGACTGGCAAGAATCCTGGGTAT